TATATATATATTTAAAAATTCAATGATCAATAAATTGGAAAACCATCAAACCTTCACATATGACTGAAGAGACTTTTGTTTCGTTTGCTGGTAGCATTCTATCTTTTAGTCACATGCAAAATTAAAAGGTATTAATTGAGAATTGTTCACAAATGGTAACCAGAAATGTTGCTGGTAGCAAAATAAACCACAATATTTATGTCCCACCCCCACCCCAAGATGTCTGACTCACACGTAATTTATCTTCCTAAGAATCTGTTCAGGCACCATTTATGCCTCATAGCAAAAATCTGTTTATAAAAAAATTAATGTAAGAAGCATTACAACACTTTATAAATAATTTACAAAACATAATACAAAATTAGAAAACTGTAAAAAAAATCACTGCACATGAATGGTTTTAAGACTGTGGGATGAACATCAGGTTTTTCTTCCAAGCTGGCGATTTATATTTATTTTACATTTTCACTGCCCTACTTATAGCCTTCCAATATGTACTTTGGAACAGAAAGGAGCTTATATAACTGCCGCCAACATAGTTTTAAACATTTAGTATCTTTTCTACGCTGTTTAGTTAACTTTTGTTCTTGGGGGATTTCTCTGCACAAAATTTAGAGCAGTCCCTGGGAGAACTGGAAATTCAGTTTTTAGGCAAAGAATGGTTGATGGTTTTGTTCCCAGGCTGTTAGAGATGGGGGTGCAGAGGGGAGGTGGTGTACAGTCTCAAGGGTGGCTGAACAGGTAATGGTGTATGTAGCACTGGACAATTAGCAGCGTGCTGGAGACACGGGTCAGACTTCAGGAGAGTCTGCTTCCAAATACGATCTGTTCTTCCCTGCTTCCCTGTTGGCTTCTGGGTGCTCTCCTGATAGGTAAACTGAGTTATGGCCACAAGTTTAGGGCTGTTTGGTATAGATAACGTAGATGTATCTGTGGATATAGGTACCTGTGGATACAGAGGGAAAAAGAAAACCCAAAGAGGCAGATGTTGCGGTGAAACTCTTTACTTCACGTGCTCAGCTTGGGTAAAGCATCTTTTTTGTCCCTCCCAATTTGTCTGTGGTTACTGAGATTTTTTTTCCCTGGCAGATATTTATATATCAACAGTCGAAAAAGAGTCAATAACAATTCTCACTCTCTTCCACATAAAAGCAATACTGAAAACATTCTTAAACATACCCTACTGAAGCTTAAAGCCTAAAATGCATTTGCTGGACATGAGCCCAGCCCCAAGTACTGGATCCTCAGTGCTCTCCAGCCCTGACCCTTGAGAGTGCTCACATTTAGAGGCAGTTTCTGGAACAGATGATGGTCTCTGAAGCCTTAAAACTCCACCAACCATGCAGCAAAGACCCCATTCTACAAGGCAAATCCCATTAATAAAGCAGCGAGGGCAGATTCAAAGCCTAGCGAAATCAATGGAAGTCCCTTTCTTTAACTTAAGTTTTGTATATAGCCTTGAGTTCCTGAAAACTCCGTAAGAGAGGTGTTATTTGAAGACTCCAGCACTTTGGGAACCTCCTCCAACATCCTGGGCAGACCAGCAAAAATCCAGTACGATTATCCTGTGGTCAGTGGATGCAGTTAGGAATTATACCAGCAGAATTTTACTCTGCTGCCTCTGCAGCGAGCTGAACCAAATCCCCAAAGTAATCTTTTGGAAAGTCCTGATCGAGATGCAGCTTCTACCCTAATAGTGGGCTGAACCCAAAGGCTGGAGCAGAACTCAGCAGAAGAGGAAAACTGCAGGTGACATTCAGTCCGTACCCCATCAATAACCTGCAACACCTCTCTCTCCCTCTGAGCCTTGGTATACTCGTAGGTCTGATGACCACAGTATTTTAGAAGATGTCTGTCCAAACAAAAGGGAAGCCACAGAGATAAGTTGTCTTTATAGGAAAATCAATTCACCTGTTCCATATGGCAGGTGACCCACCTTACTATCCCCCAAGAAGATTCAAAGGGTTTCTCTATATCCTGATTGCTTAGTCTAGCCAGCGGTCACAGCAAACACCTGTAGAAACACATCCTCCTACTGAAGAGGACAACAGGGCAAGCATCAATACCAGATGACATAAAAAAAAGGCAGAAGGAACAAAGCACTACCACTGAAACAGTCCATAGTGATGTAAACCCCAAAACATCCTCATCACTTCTCGGCCTGTCCGCTTGTTTTCAGCAGAATCTCAAGAAATTTCTTTGGCTAGCAGACTTTGGAGAGAAATTGCTTCAAACAGAACCATAATAGAGATGCAGTACTGTACCAAGTGTGCAGTTTATAGTTATACTACAAAATGAGTTTTGGTAACCTCTGCAGGTTCATGGTCAAAGGACAGAGGAATCCCAAGCTACCCATTCAACAAGAAGCACAATGTTCAGCATGGGCTGACGGTTCATCAGACATAATCCCAATCCTTCTTTGTCCTCTATTGCATTTCAGCATATCGATATAAAAGTGTTCAGATTTCACTTTTCCTTTTAAAAATCTTCAAATAGTACTGGGTTATGTGGGCTTGGGAAAGGGGGGGGAGAGTGAGCTGGGAGGGGGAGGCAGCAAAAAGAATCAGAGAAAAGGAAAAGAAAGGCAAACCAGGACATACACCCTTAGAAGAGAAATACCAAACCCTGCAAATCACAATAAAAACAAATTCTTTTTGGCACCCAAACACTTGGAGATTGCAAAACCAAAAGAAAAGGAGGTGACCACTATGGAATGGCTTTAACACATGTTTGTACACACCTGCAGGGGGTGCGAACAACGAAAGATGAGAGAAATTAATCCTGTTGTTTTCCTCTTTGCAAAATACAAATGTAAAAATTCATAACACAATTTTATGCTCATAAAAGAGTAGACTAACAATCTAGTTTGCAATGCCATGTTTCTGACTTTGGTTAATAGTTTTCATAGTGAATCAGCACTTGGTACCTGAAAGGCTACAATCACTCCTCCAGGTGGCAGGCTTGTATTCTCTTTTAAACAGATAAAAGTTCTTTTTGTCTTTTTTTTTTTTTTCCTTTTATTTTTGTTCTTTTTTTTTGTTCGTTTTGTTTTTCCTTAAAATGTGTTCGTATTTTCATAATATACAGAAAAAAAGTAAGCAGTTATTTGGTTTACTTTAAGTCCATTAAAAAAAACTGGCTTTTTTCTTTCTTAGGAGGGGGGGAACTAATTCTACGACACACACACACACTGAGTGCTGTGTATTCTTTCCTTTTGTTTTTTAAATAGGAAACCCCACGGACATTTAGAAACTGTTCTGTCCTTCTTGTAGTTTTCTCAGTCTTTTACTTACAAGGGTGATGAACAGGTATTTTCACAGAGTTCAAATGGTTACGTTTCTGTTGGTGCAGGGATTTTGTTTTGTGTGTGGTTTGGTTTAGTTTTGTTTTTAGGAGTTTTCTTCCAGAGAGTCTGTTAAAGGCTCCATAGGAACTGCTGTCGCAGGCTCGTGTTGTTTCAAACGTTTAATTGTGTTCTTCAGTGCTTGCCTCTTATTGCAGAACCAAACTCTAACTACTTCCCGGTCATAGTTCAGTTTCTCTGCAATCTCTGTCATTTCCTGCCCAGAGGGGTGCGTGTTCTTCTCAAAGTGGGCATTCAAGATTTCAAGGGCCTGTGGCGTGAATGAGGTGCGCCTCTTGCGCTTTTTGGATGGTTCGCTTCCAATAAACTCGGTAAGGTTCTGCATACCTGCTCGATGGCGGGCCTCAGCCTCAGCCATCCACCGCTCAAGCACCGGCTTTATCTTCTGGGCACTTTTAGGGGTGATGTCCAGCTTTTCAAACCTGGCAGGATACAAAAGGCCAGGGTTCAGTTTGGCTGTCAGACTGCTAGCTATAGTGTTCTCTTGGGCTTCCTGTGGTAGGAAAAAGTGGCTTCTCAGGATGGTGTGTCTGAGGGAAAATTGAGAAAGAAGAGTCTTACACTGATGCTCTGCCAGGGTGGGACTTCCTGCCTGCCTGACTAATTGACTGGCAGAGGTAATTTACAATGGATTACGAAAACTAGCAGATAGGTATATCTATAAATATATATAGAGAGAGCTAGATAATTAAGCTAACACAAAACGAGCACTACAACAAAATTTTAAGTATACGGAATAATACAGGTTATGAGTCGCATTTTCATATTTCTATGATCTCCCAAACCCTTAATGCTAAGTCTGATTACAGGAAATGACATCAAAGGCAATTGCTCTTTCTCATCTTGTCTTTGTGATTAATCCTTTTGTTTCCCCTCCCATCCCACACTGTCCAAATGCCACAGCTTTAATAATACAAACCAATGGCAGTTACTAGCCTCTCAATATCAGGTTTCCTTTCCTTTCATTTTTCAGCAATTTTCACTGTTTGCAAGTTAACACTATATCCCTTTTCTGGGTCGGAAAAAGATCCCCATAGCTACGGCAGTGTTCAGCTGAAACAGCTGGACACTTTGCAATTATCTTGACTGCCCCCACAATGTGCAAAGACAGACTCATGTTTTCCAGATGAAACCCAGCATAATAGTCTACTAATATGCTGTGGCACCAAGCTGGGTTTATTGTGGGATTTCTGCAAACTGTACCAGAATGATATCATTTCCTGTAAATGAGGTCTCCTATATATCATTTTGCCATCAAAAAGTCTTTTGCCAAACCAGATTTTACAAGTATTATAAAACATCTGGAAAAGCAGCCACACAAAGCTTTAATCCTTTCAAAAACAAGCAGAAGAGCCGAGTTCACATTTCAAGTCTTATAAGTACTTGTTTCTTTCATTTACCGAGTTCATCCTCTCTTGCTACACATTAAAATAGTCTTAACCCAAGTCCTCTGATGCCACCCATCCGTATCTCCCCACTTTGCCTATGTCCACCCCGCACATTGTGGTATTTAATGTTGTGGAAGGACAACAGTCACTGCGCGGTACTGCTGCACTCTCCAGCCCACCCAGTGCTGAAGCATGGCTGCTGCTAATCACGGCGTGCTCTGGAGATGAGAACAACCAAATCAATGCCTTTGTGCAAGCAACCCAGTGACTGGAGTTGGAAGTTTCTAGTGTCTCTAGTTAGCACATGGCGGCTACAGAAAACACTCCAGCAAGAAACAAAGCATTTCTTACAAACGAAGAGTAAGATAAGGAATACTTTCAGATGATAACACTCCAAAGAATTTGTATCTGATGCCTGGGATCCTAGTGTGGTATTGACTGTAAGGTGTCCTTCTTTGGTGTCCGTATTTCAGGCTGAAGTGTATGTTTTAGAACACATGGTCTCAAGTTAACAAAATTCTGTTATTTGCATGCAGAACACATCAGCAAGGTGGTATATTGCTGATATGACCTGCACAGGCCACCAGGAGACTCTGTTTCTGTCTCCAACTTGGCCATTCCAGTTGGTTACCTTACTGCCCCTTCCATTACCCTGGAGTTCGTAACTGAAACTCCGTGGTTACCCCTAAAAGAAAAGTTAAACCTACTGCTTCTGAAGAACAGCATACTGCCACTGAAGCAGCTTGTCTTGGTGCTTAACAAGTCATAACTTGTTACTACACCCCAAAGTGATATCCATTTGGGGCAATCAAAGGAAATAAACCAACCCTATAACCTTGCAAGCATTTGAGACCAGCTTCTGCACCCAGTCCTCATTTTCTGAGCAATTTGCCCCTCTAAGGAGCCCTCTGTAAAAGGTCTCCACATTTTGGGCTTTTGTTAGTCATGTTTGTACTCCAACTTCATCTTTTTGGGGGTTCTCATGATAATCGTATAGCGGGGAACTCTTTCTCTTAGTAAAATTCAAACCCTCCACAGTGGTTTTCTCATGTGGGAGGTGGCTGGAGGAAATGAGAAGACAGTAAACTAGACAAAAGCAGAGGAAACTGCAATTTATCACCTGTTAAATATTGCATGTTAAATAGCAACTTAAGGCTACAACAAATTGGCAATTGCTACAAACTCCACCCATTTTAGGTGTTCTTCACCAGCTGACCACAGGGAAGGAAAAAAATTAATCCTTAGCAACAGGGAGCAACAGCATTCGTATCATTGGCATTGCTTGTTAGTGTTGATACTGCAGTACATGTTGTTTGGTATAACGATATACAAGTCCTGAAACAAATTTCCCAGCAGTAGTATCCTTGTATAGACTGAATAAAGGTTATTTTCTACAGGGAGGTATCTTATAAGAAAAAACAGTAGGGGAGACCATAGAAGTGAGAGGATCCTATGGAGCTTTTTGTATTTAACAACAATCAATGGGTTTTATGGAAAATCATTGAGCAAAATGTGAGCTGCAAGCTCACTACCCCATACTGATGTTATTTATAACCTTAGTCTTAAACTGCAGGAAAAGTACACTTCCGTTCTATGGGGAATACATTAAAAGTATAAAGAGCAGATAAAAAGACAGAGCATTTCATGGATCACCAAGAACAAAATCCACTTAAATGAGCTTAGAGCTGGTTTCTTGGCTTTCACTGATGGAGAAGGACTATAAGGCATTGCCCAAGAGGAAAAAGCTGTTACCTAAGTGTGTTTGTTACCTCATGCATAAACATGGGATTACTGTAATACACATACATGCATATATGGTGTTTGCTTCTAACTACCTCTGTCAAGACTGTGTTACCATTTCTTATGATTAGGGCAGATTTCCCTTTCTGCTTTGCATATATGAGTTGTCTGTTTTTTTGGTAAACATTTGGGTGATAAAAGATGAATAGCTGCTAGTTTGCAAGATAGCAGGAAGGATATTTTTTTCCCTTCTGTGTTGCCTAGGTAAATCATCATTAACATCCGATACGTGAAGTGCTAACCACAGTAATACAGGTTTTAACTTAGCAGGGATGCAGCCATGAAATATTTGTTCAGTAACCCTATCTGTAGAAAATGGCACAGTATGAAGAGGGTCAGCTGGTGCTTATCCAGCATCAGCAGGGTCTCCAGCTTGCCTAGTGAATTAAATCTCAATGCCAGGAACATTGTTTCTCGCTTGTTTAAAAAAGAAGGAAAAAAACCACAACCAACTAAAGTTACTTTAGAGGTACACAACAAGAACATTTTATCTGCCAGTTACCAACATCATTGGCTAGTGTAAGTCCCAGATCAAGTAATACATTCTAAAGACATGAGACTCAAACACAGGCATGCTCCTCGCAATAAGCTGAATAATTATTAAGAACAAAGAAGGGAGAGGAGAGTTTATGATGTAACTTGTTACCTGCAGATGGCAGACTGGCTATAGGCTGGGCCTTCCGTGGCGCTTAGGGCTTGGCCAACTTGAGTCTGTGTCAGGCCAAGGGACAGGCGCCGGATTTTAAAAGCTTTGGCAAACTCTCGGATTTCTTCCAGATTCACCCCATCCACCTCTCCCGTGGCTGTCTGAGGATCTGTTGGAATATTTGTTTAATCATGTCAGTCCTTCACATCACATAAGAGCAGGCTGGGTTTACACCAGCTTCCATCGTCAAGATGTTAATCTCTTTTCTTCTTAATATTTATCCCTGTCTCTTCTTCCCCAAACAGGAATAGGCTTGCCTTCTTAGGTTATGAGGCATGTTCCGATTGCTAAAATGCTCACTAGTTCAGTGTCCCCAGGTACTTTGTTGTTGAACTCCTGAAAATGGCCATCTTGCCTCAATGAGGGGATGCCTGGGCTCCTCACTGCCATTTGTGCCTTGCAAAACCTTCCCCAGCTTGACATGTCGTGTTCCCTGTTTCCCTTTCTTACCACGTACAGAAGGAAGGCTGGTGTTAATGTATGTATTTGAAGTCTGCGGGGAGGGCTAAATACACGCACAAACTGCTTGGGTTTTTAATCTGCAAGCAAGACTTTCTGCTTTATCTACAAATAATGGCAAATAATGAGATTCACAAACCTTCCTTCCCTTTTCCACAATACCCAGCCCAAACTGCCAGCCAAGCGTTCAAAATAACCCAGCAAATGAACAAGCCCAAACAAAAAGCTGCCTTTAAAAACTCCTTAATTTAAAAATAATCTTTTAAAATACACCCTTCTGAGAAGCAGCCTTTCAAGCTTTTCATTCTGCCTCCCATCAGGTTGATAATCAAGGAGCAGCAACATCAGCCATTAGGTTTTGGATGGTAATGCTGCACAGTTTTTTACTTCTACATTAGCCCCTCCGAAGATAATGCTTATGATGCTGTGAGAATAAATCTGTCCTTCCTCTCCATAGCAGTTTACTGACACAGAAGCCTTTGTCCCTGAAAGGGCACATAATAAAGCATGTCTACCACAGGAAAGCTCCTTTGGTGCTGGATAACTCGGTCAATTTAGGACTTATCAAGGGAAATGACACAACAGCTGGAGAATGGAACTTCCCCCCCTCCCCAAGCTACTGATCCCTGGCTAAATGAAAGCATTTGCCAAGTCGGAGACAGCATGGGACTGGGATGGTGGAAGATTTCAAAGTGGTGTGCAATCCTGCGCGTAGTGAAGCCATTCTCCCAGTGAGACATCTCTATTGTTCTTCACCTCATTCCTCAGACTTCTGAGGTGAAGAGTTTGCAGTACAATAACCCATCAATTTCTGTAAATGCAAGCAGTTGTCCAAGGACAGTGCTAGTGCTACATTACTATTCTGAACCCTATATGAGAGTGGCTCCAGCTAGTACTGCTATAGCTAAGGGCTTATCAGCATTACAGTAACAAAGCTTTTATTCTCAGGGGTTTATAAACCTGATGTAAAATTCCCTTATAATGGAAATGTCCTATGAAAAATCTTTTAGTCCAATAATAGAGAGAGGGAAGAGGTTTTTCTGCTATATAAATTTAAGCCTATATCTATTGAGAGCTTGAGCGTAAGAAGCACACATACCAATAGTATTTTAAAAATACTCATGTATGCAACCAGGGACCACATGAACTATGCATACAGGTAAACGCACACATAGGCTGAACCTAGTCTTGACAATGCTCCACACTCAGAATCATCCCTCCTATTGTCAGTGCTGTGCTTGAGCTCACCTGTGCACCACACATGCATGCACTCATTCAGTGCAAAGCCAGGGTGCATATGATTTGCTTTTAAGTAGTCAGGGCTGTGATGGGGACACTCAGGTTTGTAAAGTAATTGCCTTTGGAGGTGTGAAATTTTCCTACTTACCACATACACAGTCTACCTAGCATGCCAGTTCTGATTTTCAGAGACACAGAATAGAGGTGAGTATCTGCTGAGAAGGGGTTTCATTCTTACATAGCATCTTTGGCAAGAGGAATGTACTTACAGAGGTGGACCGAAACACTAAATCCTTTTATCCCTGAGCTCCAGGGAAAAGAGCATTTGTATCAAATCAGAACCACCTACTTCAGGTGTGATTCAAAGCCCTTTGAAATCCATAGAAGTAGTCCCTTGATTCCTGTCAGCTCCGTAAAACTCAAATAGTACTATGAAGACCACCACCATCATGTAACAGCACCATCCTGGTTTACTCTATTGCCTTATAAAATGCCATCAATACATAATCTTGGACTCTGTGGACTGATACATACACATACATAAGCATATATAAATAGATAATGGACTTTATTTCAGTAAGTTCTGAGCTCTCAGAACAGTGAAGTGTATAGCGCTTCTTCATTTTAAGAAGAGTAGCTGATTGAAGACTAAATAAACTGGTGCTTTTTGAATTAACTGGATATCCTAGGGAAGACAGCACAGTGCCAACTGGAAAATACCACTCATTGAGTGGTAGGGATCTACAGTAAGAACATTTAAAGACTCCCAGTGCACATTATGGCTCTTGTGTCAATGAAACTGCTGGGTGCTGGAGAAAGGTGCCTGAGATCATTTTAGGGGATAAGGATACATATCTCCTAACAAAAAGGAAGCAGCTAAAATTCGCCCAGATGTCCTGGTGGATGGTGAAGGTAGATGAGCAGAGTGGAAGAAATAAAATCCACAGGCTCTCCTCCTACACTGAAACTCTCTTTTTCCTACTGAAAAAGGGAGTACTACTACTGCTTTTGAATTCTCCTGAAAAATTCCATGAGTTTGTTGGTGAGTGCAAATATGGTGTGATTTTAATAGGGGAGTTGCTACAGAGAAATCAGTGCACCCTGAAGGAGAAAGCAAATTTCTCTTGCACAGAGTTCTACCATGGGAGGGATTACAGGGGATGATTTCCCCAGTCAGACAGGAGGAGAAATAGCTGGCAGAGAAGGTCCAATGGAAAGTAAATTGGATAAAAAAAGGCAGGACAAAAAACTGTTAATGGAAAATGGACTGGAGCTCAGGACAAAGGATGAAAAGCAATTTGTTTGTCGAAGGCATTTTAATTTTATAGTAACAGATGACAGTAAAATCAGTTTGGAAGGAAGAAAGGAACTTCATGGAGACACAAGTGTGAGAGCACGAGGGGAAAACAGTGATTTCCACAAAGAGAACATCCGATAGAAATGTTAAAGAAATGAGCAGAGGGATGCATCTGAGAGCAGGATAATGAAATGGAAAAAAGGAGGAATAACGATGTAGAACTGAATGAAAACAAGACAAAAGAGAACAGAGCTAGGATGAGACAATATGACGAAATCATACAGAAGGGACAGGAAGCGGAGAGATGAATCTTGCAGTCCATGCTTAGGCAGAGCTTCTTTTAAAATGTCCTTTCTTTGGAAACAACCATAAATTTTTGTCTTTAAAATAACTAGCACTTGTTGCTGGTGAGGGATGAAGGGGTGAAGATGAGATAAAAGGAAAAAGCTATAAAGAATACAGAAATTTGGGGGGGGGGGAGGCCAGGAAATAAAAAATAAGGGAAATTTTAAAAAAGGAAGAAAATTCATCTTTTTAAAATAAGGAAACATGTTAAAGAAAAATGTAAACTCATAAACACAATATGACTCAAAAGTGACAGGAACACTGAAGTTATTTAAGGCCAATTTGATCCCTTTGTTATTGTACTTTAGTAGCTTCCCTAATGTTAGGCAGCCTTTGTAAAGAGAGTTACTCTCTTTAGAGTAAGTGTTCAGCACCTTGCACCAAATAATTATCTACTGAAGTTATTATGTTGCTCTAAGCAATTCCATTCACAGAATAAGGTAGCTAAATATGCCTGGTTTTACATCAACTTCATTATATCTTGCAAAAAATTCTGGAATATGGCAAATCTCTACCAAGGTACTTGACTCCAGGGCTTCATCTGGAGGACTGGACTGCAGCTTTGGAGCAAATGAGGAAAAGGAAATAACACTATTCCTGCCTCAGGAGGGGACAAGCAGTCAAAGAGATGTTCAGGAAGCCACAAGTTGTTTCTTGCTGCCCTCATGCCTGTGGGTTTCTTTCAGAACTGCTGACCCATTGCAGGCTTCATCTCACTAGAAGACTTTGAATGGACTTTGGCAGACACTAGATTTCACCCATAGGCCTGTTAGACAAAACTCTGCTGGCCCATGTGTGGATGTGTGGGAGATGGGACACGCAGAAGGCTTTGTTCAATTATGAGCCATAGGCTTGAAGAAGTGGTGTTCCTGCTCCATTGGCTGAGTGGATTCTGCAAAGGAGCAAAACAGGGATGACTTTCTGTATATTTATGTCCCTGTGAGCAGGCACACTTGTATGCAAACGAGTTTTTAGTCACTTGAAACCATTTTCAAATTAGTGATGATCAATTAAGACTATTTGTCTAAGAATATGGTGTTACAGTGAAAAGCTGCAGGGCATCCTGTCTGCCTTTTCATGGTTCATTACACAGGTGGTTTGATCCATTCCTTCTGAACTGACCATACTCTATTCTTTCTTATAGGCTCTTTGGAATGCTCTTAAGATCTGGGTCCCAGTAGGTTAATTCCCAAGTGCAATATGTTCCTCAGTCTGACTGCATGGAAAGTATTTTCTTTACTCTGAGTTCACTGCTTGATTTAATTGAGCTTTCTTCTTCTTTGAGCAAGGAAGAAGTATCCAAACAATCTTCTCTGTGCCATTCATTATCTCAGGTAGGGTACTAACTATGGCTAAGTTTGCCTGGCACTTGCCATTATAAGACAAATTTCAGGTCAGTTACTTCTGAGAATAAGGCCAATAAAACATGTTGTTCTGCCAGGTTAAAGAAATTGTAAGAACCTCTTTTCTTTAAGAAGTTTCAGTTTCCTTACAACTTGATGCACTGCCTTGATAGGTATTATCAGGGAGATCTGATCTGTTATGTATTAGGTCTGTTATGTATTAGGTCTTCTTGGCATCCCAAGTAAAAATCTGTCTCCAACAAGTCCAAGCAGGTGAGCCTCCAAAGGCCTTATCTACTCAGTGGAGATTGGCTAGACCTCTGTGTGGAATCTTCTTTAAGATTTTCCCTGTGCTCAGGATGCTTGAGCCTCAGGCTGAAGTAGGTGGCAAAGAACCCCCCTCCTATGGTTGTGGCTGTGGCCTGCTTTGCGCCAGGGCAGCGGTATAGACAGGGACTGACTCGCCCCTCTTCTTGGTGATCATTTCCCACACTGTGATGGCTTCCAGCGAGGGTGGGAGTGGTGTCTGCATGATTTGGATGCAGAGGGGGCAAAAATTAACCTTGTGTCTGAAGAAAAAGAAATGACAGAAGAGTGAAAAAACAGCTGAAGACTAATAAGGAGCAGGGATTTGAGTTTGGAGTGGAGGGAGAGAGGGCCTGACTGTGCAGAGAGTAGTAATCACTGTGGTAGAGGACAGAAAACAGAAAAAAAGAGGGGGTATGAGCAATAAAATAAGGTAGAGGAGGACAGAAACTACCTAATAAAAAGGCTGGTAAAAAGGACACAGATATGGTCTGGGGACAGAGACTGACTGGGAGGTGGAGGGGAGCTGAAATAGGAAGAGTTGTTGAGGAATGATGGACTGCGGGGAAAAGACTGCAGGAGGAACAAAAGCACAGAGGCAAAGGGACTGCTGATTATGTGGAGAACAGTGTGAGGATGTAATGGGACTGGAACAGAAGTGGTGGAAGGATCCAAGCCTGAGAGGAACAAGTAGAATGTCTATGTTCAGTAGTGTATCTCCCCTCTTCCTCTAAATGATATTCCTGTGCCTCATACTTCTCTGCTCTCAGGCAAATCCATGACCACAACATGTGTCTTACTACTTTTAGAGCAGGACCAACGAGATGATAACTGAACCTGCTAGCTTTTCTATCCATTCAACTGACAGAAGATCTCGTATTTTCAACTATGAATATAAGCATTATCTCACCATACCACTGACTGACATTACTATTCTTCTTTGTTACAACCTTGAAATTTATCCAAGCATAAAACAGAGCTAAAAAAACATCCATAGAGCTGCACAAATGAACACTTAGAAGCTACAAAATGTTGGAGTTACAGTAGCCCAACACAGTGTAACACAAACTTTGAGCACTGGATTACCAGATCTTTTTCCCCAGACTCCTGCCTCATCCAGTGCTCAGGATGAACTGTCTTTCATTACAGAGGAACTGATTGATGTATTGCCTTTTTACTTGTTCAGTGTGTGGCCCCAGACCTCTATTAAAGCTCTTCACCAAAGACACTTCTTCTTGAGCTCCTCTGTTTGTCTAGATCTTAATTTATTTTCTTATGTTTCTACAAGATGAGGGTCTTCCCCTTTTCATTCACAGAGAAGTGGTCAGATATTAAGGAAAAAGCATTTTTGGGTACCCAGCCTAGGTCAAGTAGGAAATGATTTTTTTAGACGGTGTGTTTAAATGGTTCTTCATACAGTTCCACAGTGAAAGTGCACTTAAAATTGTGAGTGTGAGTCCCAGGTTCTTCTGTAAATTAAAATCCAGAGTCTCAAGCTGGATATTAAGGGAGTGCTTGTGAAAAACCTGTTTTAAGTGACTTGCACTGGAATCATGTGGCAGACAGAAAGCTTCAGCTGCTGAGACCTCTACCACTTGAAGCAAGACAATCCTTCCCCCTGCCACAGCTTCCTACATCGAATGTTATGCAAACTGGAGAACAGGGTAGCGTATGAGATAGGGAACAAACCTTGGGACAACAGCCCAGCTGTTGCACTAGTAATTCTGATGCACCCCTAGGAAAATTCCATTTTGGAAGAAGGATGAGAAAACTCTCTTGATTGTGTGATTTTAATCACAGTGTATACCCTTATTATAAAACACATGTTCTAAGAGGAACTGCATGTGATTGAACAAGCAACTGTTTTTCTAGCATCTCGTAACTTGTGATGGATTTATTGTGTAAACTTAAAAAGGCTTCTTCCACGTTACTTTATTGTGTAGTGGATTTATTCACATGGGGAAGCTGACCGGAATAACTGTTGTGGGGTAGGGTACCCCTTAATAGTTACTCTAGAATATTATCTTAATAAGAATGTCCACAAGGGAAGCTATTCTGGACCAGCTTTTGAAAAGTAACTTATTCTGCACTCACTATTTTAGTCAATTTGCCCACATAGACAAGGGGTAACTTCATGTATTTTTAACATGAAGCCTCTTATTTTTCTTCTTCCTACAAGCTTGTCTACATGAGAAAATTTACTAGCAGAGCAATAGCAATATATTTATATCACTATAATTACATCTGTATCTATATATTTTATGTACTTAGAGCTACCAATGCAGATATTTTTATTCCAGAATAAAAGTATTCACACTGGGAGTTCTGCCAGCATAATTTTACCACTACAGCTCTGCTAGTGATTTCCCCATGTAAACAATCTCTGAAATAATCTAACCAGGACTTTTTTCATATCTTCCCTTGCATGACAGTTTCTCCAAGCTCTTCATAAGCTTGTATCAGTCTTATATTTTACATTACCAATGTGGCATGAGCTATAGCTTTTGTTTCCTTGAAATATGTTCATGGACTATCTTTGAACAAGGTCATCTAATACACTCAGATTTTTGCAGTGTGCAAAAACTGTTAACGCTTCTTATATATACTTTTAACCTGTTGGCTTTTGCTATGTAAAACCAAAGTTAATGCTGATAAAGTAATAGCAAAGACTCTAAACTACGTGATCTGGAAAAAAGGGCTGCTCTTACAATCCTAACACTGAAACTCAGTTATTTCACCGCAGAGCCCATGTCTATTCTCTCTCATGTGTTACAGTTCTTGTTCAAATTGTGCAAGCTTTTCCTGGCAGGAAGGGTCTCTTGCTTTACGTTTGTGTAGTTGTAAAATGCTTTGCTACACTAACTCCAAGCAGACACATAGTAACAAATAAGCAGCCTAACCAAAAGTAGAAGGATTTGGCTGTCCACCACATTCTGACCACTGTAACTCATTATATTGACTGATTCAAAACCTTCTCATTTCCAAAGAACATTAACTCCATTTCAGTTACAAGAATTGCCCTCACAAGTCAGACAACAGTTGCTACCATTTTTATGACCGTTTTTAGCACTGATGACAATTTCTCAAGGCATGTTTACCTTAAGCCCCATCCATGCCAGCACTTAGCAGTTCCCACTGGTAAGAGTCACTCTACTTAGCAATATACAATATACTATATGAAACAAAAAAAGAAGGAGGGAAAGCGGATCTGGAAACTCAGCAGTGATGAGGACAAACAGAAGGGAGAATTAAGGAGAGCCAGGGAGCAATACTTACTGCTGACTAACTGGCCAACACTCAAAGCTGAAGAGGAGGAGGATGAGGAGGAAGAAGAGGAAGCCTGACGCACTGGGCTTTGAGACATAGATGCTTGACTGTGAGCCAAATGCAGGAGATTGGATTGTGAGGCTGCTTGTCCCACTTGCGTCTGGGAGGGCTGATGGAGCTATATGTTAAAATGTAAAAATAGGTATTTAGAAAATGAAGCAGTAACAGGAAACTTTCAATGCACCATCTCACCCATCTACTTCTGGGGAACAAATCTCACAGGAGCATTAAATACCATGAACTTAGTTCAGGTGACAGCGTTACAGCAGGAGCAATCTGAGCTCTTTTGAATTCTGACTCTCCATTTTTTTAACTCTGTTTAACCAGATACTTAATCTAATTAGAAGGTAAGTATTTGTTTGAAATGGGTAATAAGAGACATTCGCAGCAGCATTCTGATTTAATAAACACATGTCCTTACCTGTTTTCTGACTCGTAAAGTCAGACTTTTATTCCCTAAATCAGCATTGTTTCAGAGAGGTCCTTTCATACTGCAGGACCAGGACAAAGAAGAGTGGGAATGGGGAAATGAAGATAAACTGGGGGAAAATACCCTTCCTTCAAAATGGAATAATGAGTTTCATGACATTAGGTCTAACAAATAAACAAACAAAAAAAATCTTATTTCTCAACTGAAAAATTGTCCTAGCCTAAAACACACAGTGAGCCCCATGCACGTTAGGACTGTGTCGAGTAAGAAGCACCTAAAAAGTCCACCGGGTAGGATAGATGCAGATGATACATTTTGATACATGAATCTGCCTATACAAATTTTACAACAGTGTAGTCTTTGGTTGTTCGTTAGGGAAAAGGAAAGAACCATTAATCAGCTTTCATGTGAGACTGAAAACAAGGAACATTCTCTGCCACTGATTGTTATATAAAACTCACAGCAAATCCAAAGGTCAGTCTCTCTGCAGAATGAAGGTACACAGTGGACATTACAGCTTTGAATTGGTTTCTAGTAGTACAGTCCAGCCCTTTCAGAGTTTATTACTGGTACAGTAATACAGTCCTGATACACACAGGGGACTGCTGCTTATTATACCTTTATTTTATGTTGATTCTTGATATTTATAAAAAAAAAAAAAAAGATTGCAAAAATGTACTAAAAGGCTTCACTTTTAAGTGATAGCTGTTATCTGCATTCTTAGAAAGGGGGAAAGATAAAGGCCTATTTGGCCTTGCTTGAAGTCAGTAATTTAAATCTGTTTCTTGAATTCTAAGGAGTATGAGTTTTTCTCTTTTGATACTTAACTGAACAAATGACTTCAGAGAAAGAGCTGAATTCATTAGTAATACCCAAATTATATATAATATGCTCCCAGAACACATAGAAATGACTGATACTAAGTAGACAACAAATTGTATGGCACTGTAGATAAAGGTATGTGATCACACTGAAGATGACACTTTTCTGTAGAATACATATGAACAATTTTAATGACATTATTCCCGTTATGGGTCTGTTTAAGAATGGAAACAACTCCTTTTTCTGCCTCCCACATGGAGCAATATGACACAAAAACAAGCAAGAAACTTCGAGTCACCCTCAAAAGAATTATTGACCTGACCAGTTTTAGCCTATTCTGACTTCCCTGGGCATGGAGAAACAAAACCATTCTATTATCTCAAGTAGTTTCTTGGGATCAAGCACATTTTCTCAAAGAAAACCGGCACTTTATCAAAGCAGTAATAGTTGAGAAGCTGACTGAAAGGCTTCCAGATTGCAGACTCATGCAAGCACTGGGCATCTTTAAAAAGATTTCACTAAGGGCTGGATTTTATTTATAGAGAGCTCCCAACCCAGAACATCTACTTGGATAATATCTTCTCCTAGGGAAGCAGTCCAGTAGGAGGGCTGGCCTCGGAACACTGCAGAAATGGACTGCCCATCCATTATACCCACATTACTCCAGGCAGCAGCTTTCAGAAACAGGCATCTGGGCTCTGGGCCTGTTGTGCGAGGGAATCTCTGACAAAAATGAGGATTTCGGCCTAGGCAAGGGAAGAAAACTACTGTATTTAGATGAGTTAAATGATTTTGCACTATCTGGAACAGTCTTAAAGATGCTAGTGCTTATCCTGGAGAATGAAGGAGCAAACGTAGTAGCTATCTTTAAAAAGAAAGATCTGCAAAATTATAGTCCAGTCAACTAAACTTCAACCCATGGAAAAGTACTGAAGAAAATAATCAAACAATTTGTAAGAAAACAAGGTAGCAACAGACAACATGGATTGTTAGGAACAAACTGTGTCAAACCAATCTGATCTCCCTCTAAGACAGGGTAATTGGCCTCACGGACAGGGAAAAAGCAGTAGGTGGTTTGACTTTACAAGTCTCTCGACACTCCCTCATGCGACATTCTTTATAACCTAGGGAAACATAGTTTAGATGAAATTGCTGCAGAATGAATGCAGAAGTGGTTGGAAAACAAAACAGAGGACAGATATCTATCCTTGGAAACAGAAGCGTGTATGTATGGTGCTTCACAGAACTCCATCCTTGTTGTGCACTACTCAATATTTTCTTAATGACCTGGATGATGGAGAAGAGAGTATGCTTAATATATTTACATGTTGATGACATGCTGAGAGGGACTTTTTATAGGTTGGATACAGGATTAGGATTCAAAATGATGCTGTCAGTTTGAACACACCACCACAATCCTAGAGTTGCAAGAGTGAAGAAAAGGCAACTCCCATACCACGCTGCGTGAGCAGGAGTGACATCTGCAGTGCTTGTGAAGGATCTTCTATTCTACTAAGCACTGGAGATACCTTTTGGCATGGGGGGCGCCATGTCCAAAGCTAGATGCCACACTTCAGGAAAAGTCTGGATCAACTGGAAGAGGATAATTAGAGTGGCTGAAGGCCTGGGAGTTATCTGAGGCTTATGTAGACACCTGGAATGAACTGGTCATGTTTAATCTAAAGAAGGGAAGACTAAGTGGGATATGATGCCTGCCTCAAGTACAGGCAGAGCTAATGAAAACAGGAGAGAATGAGTCTGTCATACATATTATAGTGGAGTGAATGAGGTGCAGTAATCCAGAAGATCCAAATTAGATGCTGGGAAAAGCTGCCTAACATGCCAGTGAAGCCCTAGCTTAAATTGCTGAGGGAACCTGTGGAGCTCCTAAGACAGTGCTTAAGAGCAAGTTAGACAAATACTGGAATAGCTACTGTGCCTGAGAACAACACAGTGGACTGGATAATCTCCTGAACCTTACCCTTTCAGCCTTAATTTTTCATGATTCTGTGCTATTTGCCATCAGTATTTCTCAGGGAGAAATACATGACCATGTAAGAGATATATGGCAAATCCAACATTCTGCAGCCACGCTACACCTATAGTCCCAAAACAGTTCAACTGCTGAGCTTGTGCACAATAACTCTGAAGCTTCCAGAAAGCACCAGAATGAGAGGGCATTCTGCATTCTCCAGCTGTGCATGCAAAGTGTGTACACAGCCACTACATGGTACATGCACAGTATGCTGGTTAAGTGGAGGAAATGTTTGGTTCCCTGCACATGTATTACACAATGCATTTGCAAATGTATTTTTTAAATAGCTGGAATACCCAGAAGCTTGGCAGTTTACTTGTCAGAAATCTTAGGACAAATAGGGATATGGCTAGTGACGTCTGGATGCGCAGTGACCTTAGGTGCAATAGCTATATATAAGGGATATTTACAGATTGTTGGTTTCTACCTCACTGCTTGTGAGGGAAAAGGGAGCAAATGGGGTTGGAAAGGCTGAAGTCACCTTAAGGCCTGACCAGGGACTGAGGGAGGATTTAATCTTTAACTCCCTGCATAATTTCCAGCACACCCCCTGTTTTACAGACATGACAGTTAAGCTGTAAATGTCCTGCTTAAAGAACAATGATAGTTATCTATGCCATAAAATTGCATTAAAATACTCTCTCTCTTTTCATCCACTATAATTTCCACTCCAGAAATAGCCTTAAGGAGAGGCGATGATTAGATTATGAATTAGATTCTGGATGACAGAATCAATTGGAACTTGCAATAGCTGACTTTCCCCAATTTTGGACACGAACATATGATATGAATTATATTTATGACTGTTGTGCATTTTCCATCCAAAGACAGAAGGAGGCACAGAAATTACAGAAGCAGTTGCTGTAAGTGCCATTCTGTGTAGGTGGATATAGTAGACACACCGAGAATGATGGCTGTATGCAACACTGATCGGTATCTGGCAAGAATACATGTATGCACACTCCAGCTAGAGGAATAGGATGAATATGAGAAGCATGAAGTGTAGCATAATATTTTAAAGGAATAAGCTCAAAAATGCAAAGGGCCTAATTCTTATTTCTTTTACATCAGTTTTACATGCTGCTGTCAACAGTGAATGTAATATCGACTGATAATTGCAGAGACAATGCATGAATTAGGTCTGTAAGACTAAATTTTGTTCTTGAGCTCTGTATGTAGGATATTCCTACACCTGGGATGGTTGACTGGAGTCCTGTGTTAAGGTGGTCTTAAGAGACCAGGGATGTTGTTCCCTGCATCCAGAACATTACATGATGGTGGTAGAGTAACAAGGTATTTTGCATAAGGTAAGGAAAGAGAAAGAAACTAAGTGGAAACAAAGAACAAACTTTTGAGACAATATTGCCCTGTATCGTAACAGAACTGCTACTGGTTTTACAGAGAGTCTGGACAAACAGCAAAAACAAAATATGGCCCTAATGGAAGGGAGAAGAAAATAATGGTTTTATATTGCAGTAAGGGAGGCTAGGGTCAGGCATCAGGAAGACATTTCTGATGCTAAGGAGAGTGGCCTAGGTTGCCTATGGATGTCAGGGAACCTCCATCACTGAAGGTTTTTAAGAACAGGTTAGACAAACATCTGTCAAGAATGATACAGGGACAGTTGATCCTGCCTAGGGGGAGGGGATGGACTGCATGACCTCTTCAGGTCCTTTCCAGTCCTGTTTTTCTATGATTCAGTGAAAAGGGAATCTGAGAGACGAGGAAACACAACAAATTAAGGAAGACAGAGGTGAAAAAGACAAGTGTAACAAAAAGGACAGAAAAGATGAAACTAAGAGGAGTGCTACAAAGAGCAAGATACACGTTT